ACAGCAGCGGGACAAGCTGCAGGGCAGTCACAGGAGGACGCACACAGTTACGTTACCAGTCAGTCTTGCCGCCTAGATGGCAGCCCTACTCCCAGGTGGCAGCGCGTGCGCCGTGAGCCGCTCCTCCGTCAGCATGAAGCACAGCCCCATGTCCTTCCGCACGCCCACTGCGTTGGTCAGCACACTCATGCGGCCCGACGACACGGACTCCACCAGCGCGAAGCCCATCACAACGCCTCGACGCACACGCGACTCGAACACAGCGAACGGAATGCGCCGCAGCGTACCGTCCGGCAGCTCCTCCAGCTCCGTCGCAGCACTCAGCGCCAATATGCGGCCGGTGAGGTCGACGTCCTGGGGGAGCACATACGCAAGCGGCACACCGCACTGACCCGTCGACGGTGTCGCCAGCGGCCCGGCGTCACAGTCCGCCATTGGCATAAGAGTCGCCGTGGAGCCCGCACCGCACCGCCCGAGCACAACGAGGCGGACGAGGGGCACATCCACCGTCAGCAGTGCCGGCCTCACAGCAGAGGTGCGGGTGCCGAAGAAGTACTGAAGCCAGCACTGACGCTTGAAGAAGGCGTCGTCGGTTGGCACAGCACACTCCGTCGCGTCCAGCATGAAGAGGTGCACAGTCAGCCCATTGCCGCACACCACAGCGGACGGTGCAGCACGTCCCACCTCAGCCGGTGCCCCAAGCCGCTGCTGCAAACGCTGTGCAATCTTAAAGCGCAGCCAGGCACTTCCCACAATAAACACATGGTCAATATCCACCTCAGTAATGGTATCAACCAGGGTGTCCAGTGGGTTTGTTTTCCTGCAATCACCCTGATCTGCTTCTGAGTGCTCCCACACCTCCCCAGCCTCAACAAGCGAGCGAGATATCACCCCGTAGTCGACAAACAGCCCACCAACGCGACAACGATCGCTGCGCCCCATGCGCTCCGTGCCCGCCTGCAGCAGCTGCCGCACCACGTCCAGGAAAGAGAGAAGGGTCCTCGTGCTTCGCCACGCCGTGGCACGCGTGCAGGGCAGGCGCAAAGCACATCTCCTCCTCCACTCCCACCACGTGCTGCATGGCGTAGAGGGACACAAAGCCAGGGTAGCCGAAGCGAGGCATTTCCACTGCAGCGTCCAGTAACAGCGGGTGATAGCCTAGACGGACGGCATAGTTTGCCAGCGTCCGGATGTAGGTGCTGGTCCCAGCACAGCGACGGTCCGCCACGAGCAGTGCACGAGGCCCAAGCCCCTCACCACCACCACGCCGCGCCCCCACGCGCAGCACCTCCAGGTGTGTGTTAGTGTCGGCAACGGAGCGGGCCCACACCGTGCGGCACGTCGTGCTGTGGCACGTCTGGTGAACCCCCACGGGCGCCACAACCGCCAACGAGCACCCCGTGGGCGAGAAGACAGCGGAGGAACGACCGGCAGGGAAATGCACAGCAACACCGGGCACCAGCTCCGCCCCGAACACATCCGCACGGGGCTGCTCCCCGCCCTCCTCTGCTTGCCGTTTCAGCGTCACAGTTGTTGCACCACAGGCACCCGTCCCCTCTGCCGCGAGACATCAACGCACAGCCGGAGTGTGTATGTCCGTTCCAGCACCGTCATGCCGCCACACTCCTGCTCTGCGCTTGGCTTTGAACTAAAACGGAAAAGAGAAAGGGGAACACGAGTGAAAGAGGGGTGCACATTCGCGGTTGTGCGGGCTTCCACTAGGTGCCAGAAGAAAGGTGCTGCAACGGGCGCGGAGGTGCAACACACTCGAGCCCAGCCACGGCACACGGACGGCAGGAGCACCACCTGCTCGCCCACCTGCCCGTTCGCACTCACCACTCGGCGCCGCAGCAGCGACGACTCGTGCAGCACGCAGACAACAGCGCGACAGACAGAGGGATCCCTCTTCAGCATCGCCCTGATGTCCTGCTGAGACACCGGATCCTCAATATGTCGCCGCAGCCCCTTGATGGCGCTGTAGATCCCATGCGCGACAATTCCGCACACACACGGAGGCGGTGTCAGTGGCGGCAGCAGCAGCGGCACGTCGCCCACACTCGACGCCCTGCTGCTCGGCGCCCGGTCGCTCCCGCACCACCCACTCACATCCCCGTCGCAACGGACCACACGTCCCCTTCAGCGACCATCAATCGTGGGGAAAGCAGCACCAAGAAGAACTGCGAAAGTCACCGAGGAAAGAGGGGAGGGGAGGTGGAGAACAGGAGCCAAGAAAAGGTTACGCAGTGCTGCGAAGGGGCGTACCGATCTGACAGCAGCACCGTCACGGTACGGAATAGTCTATGCCTTACCTTCCCCTATAAAGTAAAAGAGAGAGAGAGAGTTAAGCGAGACTTTTTATCTAGATCCCATTTCGAAGCTTCTTGTCCCTGGTACACATAGAAAGGGGGACTTCCAGTAACCTCAAGGCCTTCCCCTTATAAGGAAGTTAAAGCTTGTAGTCCCACTG